CTTCTCTAGAGAATCAATATGCAGGTTCAACGCTATATAATGAAACCTGGCAATTTCTCTGGAATCTCTCCAAATCTCTCCAGGGGCAGCGATAGAAGCAGCCCAGGAGGAGGAGGGACTGTGGGCCACAGGGCCTGATAGGGTAGGGCGAGGGAGGCATTTTACCCTCTTCTCTAATAATTGGCCCACAAGGACCCTTATCTCCCTGAAGGAGGCTGGTGTTCCCCTCCCTGATCCCGCTAAAGCAGAGTGACAGCCTTGTGCCTGCTAGATCATCCATGTTGCTATAGCAACAGACTTGCCCCTGGAGCCGGTGGTTCATGGCAAAATGATAAGGCCTCTTTTAAAGGTTGCTAATGTAGGTTGGACCAAGAATACAGGCCAGGTGGGTAGACATGGAGGCCTGGAGCCACAAATATTCAGGGTAGAAATTTTACCCCAATCAGTCAAAAGCCTAAAGAGTCGGAGAATAAGTTAAATTCAACCAGCCCGGGGTGAAACCCAAGAAGCAGAATTTTGTCATTAGGTCTAAGGCACATTCCTCTGGACTTTGTGGAGGGAAAAAGGAGAGGGTGGTGATAATGACAGTAAGGGAAGAGGCTAAAGCAAAACAGACCAGTGTATTTGTGATTTCTTTGGCTGCTGGCTACACATTGTGCTGTTGATATTCGGGAACTAGGGTGGACACTGGCTGCTCTCAACCCTGATCAGCCATAGCTAAACTTGCTTTCAACCCCAATTCTTGCCCCACGTCAATGAAATCAAATTCTGATTCTAGAACTCCATCCTCAATGTTTGCTCAATCATCTTACCTAAAGGAAGTTCTCTCTTCTCTGTGTAGGCCCATAAAACTACAGATACCATCCAAAACAGCTGATCAGCCTCTGAAACCATGCCTGGTTCCTAGTTCCTGCTGTAGTTCTTGGTTGGGATTGGAATCCATAGCTCCTTGGGCTGGGATTTGGTGGCATATACGCTTCCTAAAGGAAGGATATTTGTGAGTTGATTTCTGCATCCTAACACATAGCATGGAAAATGTTACACAGAAGAATCTTAATAAAAACTTAACACATAGTTGAATAAATGAGTCATTGACAGTCTTCCTAGTCCTTGCCTACTCCAGCTGGGTTCCTCAACTCTCCTGTCATTGACATGGTCCTTCTTCCAGGATGGGTCGTCTTATTCCCCCAATTTTTCTCCCAGTTGTCACTGAGAGCATCTGTGACCAGAGATTCCTGCTGTTATCCCTCAGTAGATCCTTAGACACCAATGCCAGCCTGAACAAAATTTCAAATACATATGCCTTTAGCCACCACGATGGTAGCTTCTGTATGCCCTCAGCAGTGGCAATAACCCTAGTCCACAGTCTCAGACCTTGGTCTCAGCCTGTTACCCTTTTTCCATGAACTAAGGATTGTCATCCTGCGCAGGCAAAGCCTGTGGACTCTGAAAGATGTGGCGATATTATAAATGGCCTGAGGTTCTCCCAGCTACAAAAGCCCAGGAATAGGATTATAGCAATCAATTATACTCTAAACCACAATTAAAGAATGTAAAGTCTCTCCCTAGTAAATTACATAAAATAGTATGTAAACACATGTAAAATTTTCTTATAGCACTCACCACTATTTGAAATTACCTATATGTTGTGTTAATTTTTGTCAGTCTTTCCCATTGAATTTAAATTCTGCGATGTCAGGGACTTTGTCCATTTTATTTAGCACTTAAATGGTAGGTTTCCAACAGTTGGATGAGCTACTTACTCCAGGCATTCTCACAGTGGACCCTCCTGTGCATAGGTATCCAGTTCTCTAATCACGAGCTGGGATGCCTATTTTCTTATTACTTTGCTCCATTTCTCCATTGGCATGGGTGCAGCCATGCCCCTCACACCCACCATATGGCCAAGGCACTGGGACTTTTGCTATCAACGTTCCCAGTGCCATCTCCTGCTCATATCTGCCCAAAGCACACTGAACCAAGGAGGTGGTTCAGCTGGGCCCATGTCTGTACTGCTGACCCGGATAACACACCAATGTGGAGATGCTTGGCTGGCTCCCCACTGAAGAAAAAGAAGGCCGTCTCTTTCTGTACCCTTTGTATTATCCACATTGCAAAACAAGGCTGACTTGGGCCTCCAGGAATTTTATATTTGCAAACATAAATGCTTATTCTTTGCAGGAAGCCTTCTTCTCTAGGATTCCAGCATTACCCCATCTCAAGGAGAGGCAGAGGGCTGTACCCAGGCACCAGTAGTAGATTAAGCTTAGGGGTGTTTTGTTCCCCTTATCTGACTTCTGTCTGCTGAGGTCCCTCAGTTTCACTTCCTATAGTCCCCAGGAGAGCCTTTGCCACCACCTGCTCCCAGCATGATTAAACATGTCTGAACTTCCTAGGGGCACCATTGGAGCAGCAGCTGCAATAGCCACAACATGAGGAATTTCGATTCATTCTGTGGGTGGTGAGGAACAAATGAAGGACTAGAGTTGGAAGAATATCTTGATGATCCAGTGCCTGAGGGATAGGTATTATTGTCCATGTGTGGGATGAAACATGGGGGAAGATTTTAGCATGCCTTTGGTCATTATAATTCACTTGACACAGGTTCTGATGGAACAGAATTCCACTTCCCTCCCACATCGCTGTGGGAGTCAACATTTCTCTCTCAATATTTTTGCCTTTCTCCTTCCTGAGTACATGGTAGGCATGATGGTTAATTTTATGTGTCATCAGCACCACATCATGGGTTGTCCAGCTACTTGGTGAAACATTATTTTGGGGTGTGCCTGTGAGGGTGTTTCTGGATGAGATTAACATTTGAATTGGTGGACCAAGTGCAGCAGATTGCCCTCCTCATGTGTGTGGGCATCACCCAATCTGGTGAAGCCCTGAATAGAATAAAAGGCTGAGTAAGAAAGAACTCTTTCTGCATGCTTGTCTTCCATCTGGGACATTAGTCTTCTGTCTTTGAACTTGGACTGAAATTTGGTCCTCAGACTTTTGGACTAAAACTACACCATTGGCTCTCCTGGGTACTGGTTATTAACTGCAGGTCTTGGGATTTCACTATCTGCCTGGAAAATTTAGACAATAAAGGAGGATTTCACTCCACAGACCCCTGTGAGTGGGTTATGTTGCATTATCAGTTCATATGACTGCTGAGTGGTGATCGTGTCATTTGTGCAGAACCATCACTTGCTGGCATGAGCTACTTCAGAACTCTTTCTCTGCTGAGATGAATCAGCATGGGACAAACTTCACAGCCAAGAGGACATAATGGTGGGGTGGTGGTAGTTGGTAGTGTGACACAATGGGACAATCACCGTAACCCACAATCATACCTGGCAGCACCAAGATGTTGATTACTCCATCAACTTCGACCCCTGAGAGGCTCTGTGGAGCCTTGTCCTGTGACAGATGAGAAGAATAGATGAGATCTTTTTAAAATCTGGTTTTGAGCCACCGAGATCTGGGATTGTTGCCACAGTAGAATCTATCCTGCCTGACTGATGGCTTTTCCTTCTTTTGTTTGTTGAACAACTAATTGATAACTTCCAAGACACATCTAAAACCTTCTCTCCTCAGTGGGAGTTTATGGATGACTCTGAAGCCAGGAAAAATTCTGAAAGACAATTATAAGGGCAACAGTTCAAATCAGACATCATTATTCAGCAATATCCTTACCTATGTAACTGTAGGAGATTGGAATTGTACAATCATGCATTTAGACAGTACTAACTTTTCATAAAGCAGAAATAACCTTTAGAAATGTCTTCTTCTAAATTCTGCAAGGAATAGAACCTCAGGCCTTTTTTCTCCTCACTGGCCCCATTTAGTCCCTTTTCTCTGGGGAATCAGTGATCTGGCAAGCACTGAAGAACTTGATAGTCAGGTTTTAGAGGCAGATGTACACATCTCTGCTCACTCTGGCTCATATTTCTTCCTCTGTAATTATGTTAAGCAGTTAGCCAAGGCTTGGCCCTTGAGGATCGTCTTTCTGTTTCTACATGGCTGACCAACCCCATGAACCCGGGGCCTTCCTAGCTGGACTTTCCCCCTATTTTTGTCTTTCTTTCTCTTTTAGACCATGACGGTTTGGGTTTAGAGGTGCATAGTGGAATGATAGAAAGCCCCACTTAGGCCACTGACTTTTTACTTGAGTTCATTTTGATGTTGTCACCAAGTGTGATTTGTGTGTTGACTTAGCTAAACAAGAACTGTACTCTCCAGATTTCCTGCACTGTGTACTTCTAAGTCTTCTTGGGCCAAAGAGACATTTTGTATAAGATGTGAATTTTTGGAAGTGAAGTATCCTTGTCATCATTTGCACATGCAAAAGATAGTTGCAGGAGTGCCCAGCCCTGTTGCAAATCACACTGTCATGAATGGCCTTGTCATTGTCATGGCCACCAAGACCCTAACCCCTCCACAATCTGGGCTTCCTTCTGCCTCTCTGTATCTGAAGTAATGCGCTTGTTTAGCTCTGTGAGAGCTTCCCCGTACTCCCTGTCATCAAACTGGAGATTTGCAGGCATTGAAAAACCACCTGGGTTTCAGCTTCTCCTGTGGTTTCCAGCCCATTCTTGCTTCCATTGTTTCACACTTAGCTTTCCTTGCTGATGGCTGGCCCTGCAATGTCAGGGGCCAGCACCTGCAGCAGAGCTGCCAGAAGCCACACATGGATGGCTGTGCAGTTCTTACAACTGTGTCAGGTCAAATCCCCACAGTAAACCACACTGTAAATTTCTTTCATGCTTCTGCTTCTCTGACTGAAGCCTGACTGATATTACCAAAGGGGATCACTGATTTTTTTTTTTTCTCCCATTTTCATTGTTTGCCCAGCTTCCGCAGGAATCACAGGATGGGGATGGGAATAATTACCAGGAGGGTCAGGCACTCCTGGGCCTGCTCACCATGACCTCATCTAAATTTATTTAGGCACCTCAGGGCATCAGTAAAAACAGAAATTTAAAATGGCTGAAATTTCTCATTACCTACAGGACAAAGTCCGAAACAGCATATTAGCATTTAAGGCAACCAGGACAACAAGGAACATAGAAGCCAACAAAGAGACAAGAAGATATTTTCCCTAAACATGTGATTTGACCCTCATATATTAAACACCTAGTATGTATTAAGGGATCTGCTATTAAATAAAACAAACTGATATTTGAGGGGTTATTTTATATTGGGTAGCCTTTTAAGGGAAAAGAGCTTAGAAAAATGTTTGGCTCAAGCATGCGAAAAAGGTTACTTGATATTATTCTAAGTGTTTAAACGTAGCATTATGTTGAACCTGAACCCTCCCAAGGCCTTGTGAAATGGTAATTGCTGTGGATGCTGCTGGGCCCTCTCTTCCCGTTACCAGGCTGGTACTGTCTCCCAAAGGCCATGCGTGTTGCTTGCTAAGTTTACAGCTCCTCTTTCTCCAGAGACTTGCCTTCAGTCCAACAGGAACCACTGGGGAGATTGCCTTCCACAATCGCCTTGGGGCACAGTCAGGAGCCAAGGACTAAAGGGCTCAGGGGTGTAAAAAGTTGGCTCCTGCTACAAGGTGGAACTGCCTTGTGGTCCAGTTCAGTAACCCTCTGTGGATTAGACTAAAGCTAGCCCCCAGCAGAGAGCACAGTCTTACTTCTCTCTTTACCAGGCTTTATTCCCTCCTATCTTCTTATCTTCCTCCTGAGATACTTCTGAATAAATCACATGTTCCCCAAGCCCCTTTCTTGCATTCTCTGATCATGGGAACCTGACCAGAGGTTTGCTCCCAACATCCCTATTTTCAATGAGAAAACAGGCAAGGAAGGCCTTTCCTAGAAGAACTTTCCTAGAAGTCTTTCCAGACCACACAGTAAGCTGGATTTAAACTCAGGTAGTCTGAGCCCATGTTTTTACCACTGCTATTTATATTAAATAAGCAGAGTTATTTTAAGTTCACAAAGAACTTATGCACCAATAGAAAAGTTACATGAGAAAACATCAGTTCTAAGCCATGCATAGGGATGCATGCCTGTAATTTTTTAGCTTTGGAGAGGCTGAGTTGGGAGGATTGTGAGTTTGAGACTAGCCTGGACTATACAGCAAGACCCTGTCTCAAAAAATAACAAGCAAACAAAATGCATCAGTTCTAGCCTCTTTGCTCAGATCCTGAGAAATGAAAGTCAATCAAATATGGTCATTGTGCTTCCAAGAGCCTACAAGTTCATGAAAGAGACAAACACAGTTAACAGTAAAAGACAGTGGTTGTAGAGATGAACACACACACACACACACACACACACACACATGCACATGCATGTGCAGAGAGACAGAGACAGAGAGAGAGAGAGAGAGAGACCCTGACTTACAATGGTCCAAGTATGGATTTTTCAATTTTACAGTGGTATGAAAGCAATACCAATAAAATAGAAACCATATTGTAAACTTTGATCTTTTCCTGAGCTAGCAGCATGTGGGGTGACACACACTCTACACTCTTATGACAACGGGCAGCACCAGAGAGCCACGCGCCCAGTTGGCCATATAAGGTTATCCAGTACTTTATTTTAACACAGACCTTGTGTAATGTGATTTTGCCCAACTGTAGACTAACGGAAGTATTCTGAGCATTCTTTAGGGTAGGCTAAGCTAAGCTGATATTTGGTAGGTTAAATGTGTTAAATACCTTTTTTACTTACAATATTTTTAGCTTACGATGGATTTAGTAGGATATGATCGCATCTCAAGTTTTGAGGAGCATCTACATACAATTATAGACATACATAAATCTGTGCATACAAATACAAACCCACACACACAATTCATACATGCAAGCTCATAAACATTCACACGGTCACCCATACCACACCCTTACTATGGACTTCCGTACAGATGGCGAAGAAGAATGTGATACTGTAGTTTCTATATTCTAGGAATATATTTGTTAATGGAAGAAATAAAATCAACTTAACATTTTGGCTATTTTAATCATATGCCTACATTTCTTTTTTATGTTTCTTTATGCTTCTATGTAGTGTGGTAGGAAGTTTGAGAACATATAAACCATGAAAGTAATATATATTAATATTTAAAAATATTTGTGTATTTCAGAAAAATAATAATGGTGTTTATATGAGGGGTAACCAATAGTCTCAGGAAAAAAAAATACAAAATTGCAGACTATTTAGGAAAGTAATATTACAAATGCTAAACCTTTAGATATTCGTTATTCTTGCCCTACTAAATTATGCTTTCTAATTACTGAATTCCCACAGTCTGTGTTTAAGGTTCTCTCTTTTAACCTTTCAGAGCCACATCTGTTTTCTTTCAAATTGTGCAGCATCTGCTGATGGTCACAACACTGACCCCTTGGAGCCAGAACTCAGGTGAAATGAACATTGGACCCAGAGTCCTTGGTTTGTATCACTGCTTTATAATTTATTGATATTGAATTCAGTTGTCTCATCTGAATAGATGGAGGAAATAATGTCTACTTCAGAGGAGTTTTGTGATGTTTACAAAGGGAAGCATCTGGTTGGCAATTGGCCCAGCACCTGAGAAGATGAAACTAGAGGAACCCATAAATCCATAGCTAGTGCACAGCAAAGGGTGTGGACTTACCACAGGAGCCCCTGCAAATTAGTGTGACTCCGCAGCCACAAGCAGCCAATAAAAAGGACCACAGACATTTCTTCACCAGATGGACCCATCAGTATTTTGCCAAACTTGCACATTTATTGTTGTCATTAGTGGCAGTTGCTGTAATAGTTTTAGTAGAAACATCTGAGAGAGAGTTCTAGGCATCATGGTTTTTGCTCCTTAAATATATTAGCATGTGTGTCATACCAGCAAAGACATTCTTTTACATACATATCCACAGCAAAATGATCAAGTTCAGGAAATCCAACCGTGATCTGTAGTTCATAAATTCATATTCAAATTCTCCAATTGTCCCCATAATGTCTTCTATTGCATTCTTTCCAGTCCAGGGCCACATACAGTTGTCATTTTCAGGAGGGTCCTATATGAGAAGTTTTTGTCTATTCCACGATCACAAAGATTTTCTTTTAGAAATTTTATTTAGTTTTAGTGCTTATTTTCTATAAAAATAAGTCTATAAGTAGGTAATATATTTCCTCAATAAGCAATAATCTATTGACATCACCGTTCGTTTGATGTGTGTATTGTCCCTCTATGACCACTAGAAGCCCTTCCAAGGCAGCTTGTGAAGTGTTCCCTTATTTTGGCACAGGTACTTCAACTGGCATCGTGTACTTCAACTGCTCCAGTCCTGAAATTAACTATTTCTTCCAAAGAGGTCTTACTCCTTTTAGTGTGATTATTTATTTGCAGTGCTGGCATGGTGGGAGGTTAGAGTATGGCAACGTGGCTGCAGCAGTTGGGCACAACTTACCAACTGAGAAGACTTAATAACCACCAGTTAGTAACAGCAGCGCCTAAGCCTGTCGTGGGATCAAGCCAAGCTCTGCACCTGGTACCATCTTCTGATGAGAGAATGTTCCAGACCTGGCACTGATTTCACTGTTCCAGCACAAGAACAAGCGGGACCACTTGGATCACTATCAAAGAAGACATGAAAGGAGGGCAGCAATCCACTGTGCACCACGGGCTTCTCGTTCTTGCTGTGGTCCACTCTGCTTGCAGGACATTATCTTCTAGCCTTTGTTCAAAGCACCTTTTTCTCCTTCAGCACTTCTTTTATGCTTCTTTTTCTTTTTACCTTCTGTTTCTGCCCTAAAATAAATGGTCGTCTTTCACATCTGTCAATTATCCCGACCAATCGATCGATCAGGACAAATAAGAACGTGGAAAACTGCCGGTCCCGCCCAACCTGATAACACTGGGAACTGGACCCAGGGCCTCATACATACTAAACAGGTATTGTATTGCTGAGCTACACCCAAGCCCACCTTTTTCTTTTTTTGGTGTGATATCTAAAAGCCAAGTTTTAGTACTAGATCGTTCATTTCTATTGTGGTATTACTGCTTCTAGATTCTTGAGGTCGATAGACATAGGAAAGAGTTCTGTCTATATATTATCTAGATAATTCTAATTCCAGAGAAATAAATACTTCAGGATTTTTTTTTCTTTCCTTGCTGTGCTAGAGATGAACCTAGGGCCTCACAAATTTTAGGTAAGTGTCATCTCCAGCAATTCAGGATTCTTTCTGTCTTCTATCACTTCTATCACTGTTTGTGTTTATCTTTTCCCACAATGAGAACTCTGGCCTCCAACACATCATGTATTTACTTATTAGCTTATCCTTACAATATATAAAATAGTTTCAAAATTGCTACAAATGTGGTCTACCCAAAGCAAACCTAATAGAATTTAAGATTATTTAGAAATCTTTCCTGTCTTAGTCAAGGCTATTTAGTCAAAGTATCATGTTCAATTAGACTAATTCTAATTGGTCCTTTTTCTTCCACGTGGTCATGCTATTAATTTGAATATAGTTAATTGCTTTCTGCTTGCATTCAGTTTTCATTTTTTATGCTTGATTTAATTTCAGTTCTGAATGTGTGAAATATTCAATAAAACTATGCTAAAAGGCATATTCACAGAAGTGCCTGGTCCCTGCCTATTTCTCCGTTCTATTCCTATCCGCCATCTGTAGGTAACCATTTTAACTTCCTGTTTCTTTTTTATCCCTTTTACATTTTTTGGAGGGGTACTTGAGATTGAACCCAGGTGCTCTCTCTCAGTGAGCCACATCCCCAGGCCTTTTCAAAAATTTTAAATTTTGACTCAGAGTCTTCCTGAGTTGCCCAAGTCAACTTAAAACTTGTGATCGCAATTCAGCCTCCTGAGAGTTGGGATTATAGGCATGGACCACTGCATCAGCCCTATTTCTTCTTTAGTAAATCAGTTTTCTTCTTGTAGCATTTTGTAGGTTTTTTTTCTTTTCACTTACTTTACCTTACACACTCTGAAAGTCACTCCATATCAGTTTATAGAGATCCCTTAATTCATTTCCTAGCTGATTGTGTGGATATCATAGATTACTAACCAATCTCCATACTGGGAGACTTAGGCTTCTTACACATATTTTGCAACTACATGTAATGCTATAGTAAATTATCATGGGTGTGGGTATTATTTTACGTTAAAAGTGAAATCAGAATAAGGACAAAAACCACATGGTAATTAAAATATTAAAAATTAAATTTTGAGAGGAGAGTAACATAACAGTGTAAAGAACTTTAAAATTGGCAAACTTTTTCTATAATGAGATAGTAAATATTTTGGCCACACTGAATCTGTCACAACCATGAAATGCTATATAGACAGTGCATAAACAAATGAGCCTGGCTGTGCTCCAAAATGATTTTATTTACAAAACAGGTGGCGAGCTGGGTGTAGCAAGCTGATCATACTTTACCTATCCCTGTTCTGAAGAATGCCCTCGGATAGAGGGGCTGACGAAGGCATACGAAACTGGACTGGGTGCCCCCATATCTCCGAGAGCCTGAAACCTGGATGGAGAAGACGCAGTTGCCGACCGCAGGATGGCTGAGTGTTCGCAGGTCCAGGCCAGAGTGTTCCACAGACGCGAGGCCAGCAGGAAACAACCCTCTGACCCACAGGCACGCAGCAGTCAAGGCTGGTCCATGAGCGCTTGGTGATCCACCAGGAGGTCCACAGTGAGCTAGCTAGTCACCTACACCAGGCTGGGAATGCAAGGTTGCTGCGGGACCAGTCACTGGAACTACCTGACACCACCAAGCTCTTCACCCGCCTCCACCTACGACACTGCATAAGGCTCGGACTCTATCACAAAGTAAAAGCAAAATACAGCGTCCTAGAACCAGAAGTTGCCCCTTCCCTCCTGCAATATTTCTCCAGCGCCCTCTACCGACAAAGCTTAATATCGCGCTCTCTGTTAACAAATGCTTAGAATCCAGTCCTTTACCGTGGCGCAGATATTGAAGGATAGATTTATTTGAAGCTGAGAGGCTCCCGGGGTAAATTCACGAAAGATGGATTTGTGAACCTGAGTAAATAAATATTTTTCTATAGTTGAATTAATTATTTTCATAAGGCTTATTCTGCGTTCCCACTGGGAGCATATGAGTACCTTGTGTTAGGTTACAACGGTATGTTCTCAGACTTTTGACTTCTTGCCAATATGATAATTGTGGAGTCTTATATCGTTGTAGCTCTTGATTATGTCTTTTAATATTAATGAAGTCCAATATCTTTTCATATGCTAAGAGGTTTTTTTTACACGTAATTTTGTATCTTTTGTCTATTTTTCTATGGGTACAAAGTTCTTAGCTTAAAGCAAGAAAGCAATCAACCTATCTCTAACTGCAAATCACTTGTGAAGAGTCTTGCAGGACTTTGTTGTTGTTCTCTCTTAGAGACCACAGTTCAAATCTAAGTTTAATTTTTTTTTCAGTATTTATTGAGTCTTTGGGTGGGCCAGCCACAGAAGCTGCAGAGCAAGAAGACCTGGTCTTTGCCGTTAAGGAGCTTAAATCTTAGTGGAAAAAATATAAATTACAAAATGACAATAAAAATGGTGATTAAAATATGGATCAGGAAATATGTGGGCTAAGTTTCAAATATTGCCATTTCAACACTTATCTGTACAGTCTAAGATGAGGTTTTCCTAAGTTCGTGTCTCAGCTTCTCAAGGGGAGATAACAACACTTAACTCTCAGTTATTGTAAGAGCTACACAAGATGTTATATAAAAACATCTACAAGGCCGGGGATATGACTCAGTTGCCTAGCATATACAAAGCCCTGGGTTATGTCATTAGTGCTGTAAGAAAGAAAACAACTGCATACTGTTTGGTACATAGTAAATGTACAATAAGTGGTAGTAGCTGATAAAAGTAAAAGTGATAACTAGCAGTGACAAAATGACAGAGGAATTTACAGAATCTGGTGATATGTGTGCTCATTATATTTTAATTAAATGTAGGTCTATTTTGACTGAATCATCAAATATATTTAAACCATATATAGTGTTTTTAGCTGAATAAGAGAATCTGTGACCTTTTTATAAGATTTTCTTCACTGTTGATGAAATAAAAGCAAATGCTTAAGTAAATAGAAAAATCACAAATATAAAAACCACCAAACTGGTATTTTGAATTGTTCTATATATATATATAAAGACTGTACAATTCACATATTATTGTCATCCACTGATGGATTTAAAGAACTAATTTTCTCTCAGTCTCTGTTCATTACTTAACATATCTTTAGAAACAATAGTTGAATTCAAAGGTCATACCTCCAATATAAAATATCAAAAATTTAAATATATTTCATAAAGATACTCAATAGACTATGATACAATGTAAGTATCATTCTCCACTTAAAAGAGGTCAGTATAAAATATCCTAGGAACAAAGATCTGGAGTGTTTCAAACATTCATCTTGTTTGCAACCTCAAGAAATCACATTTATTTTGCCTTACTACAAATGTTTCAGATATATCATGAGAGAAATTTATAAAATTCAAAAAAAGCACAAAGGAACAAAAGTCACATGTAATCCTACAAACTTCATTTTCATTGCATCATACTTAATAAAAGCCAACAAGTATTTATGGACCTCCTACTATGTTAAGATCTAACAGCATTGGGACCACTTGTGCCCTGGAGAGGTGGGAAGCAAGTCCATGCTGTTAATTTTCTCTCTTCTGGGTGAACAGTAGCCCTACTTTCTGGGCTCCAGACTTAGTCTATAAAATCAACTCTAGAGTGTGGAACTATATTACATATGAAATAGTCATGTGTGGTAACCTGGGGATCTGATTAACTGTGTATAGCATTATGTAAAACTGGCTGTATATATATATATTTTTTTTTTTGGTTTTTTGAGACAGGATCTTGCTATATAGTCCAGGCTGGCCTCAAACTCATGGCGATCCTCCTACCTCAGCCTCCTAAGTGCTGGAATTACAGGCGTGTGCCACCACGCCCGGTCACAGGCTGTGTATTCTAAAAGCATACATACAATCATAATTTTTTTTCCAATGGCTTTAATCTTTGCTTAGGTAAAGAAGGCTAAAGCCCATTGGAATCTGACAGAATTTAAAGACTTGCCTTGCTTTAAAGAAGCCTGTTGTTTAAAACCATACCCAAAAAGCATGAATTATTAATTTTCTGGCTTAAGAAATAGTCTTCCTTACTAAAGAATTTCTGGCAAGCAGTTTTGAAGGCTACTCCTTCAGCTGAACTGGGGACTATAATTTGTTATTTTCATTTGAATTCCCCACTGTATTTACAATTTCCATTTCAGTTTACCAGAAATTTATTTTAAGTATAACTTTTTGAGAACACATTAAATGAATTTACTTCTAAATATCTAAATTTTGGCTGTTGCTTAGGATTGTGGAGGAATCCAGTGTAGTGATCTAGCCACGCATTGTTTCTGCTAACATTAGTTCCATTAGAATGCAACTCAATAGATAGAGCTTCAAAACTGTGCTAATACTGCATTGCTTTGAGAATAGCTATAGTTACGTTAAGCTTCTTACATCATAACTTCCAATGTTACACTTTAAAGATCTTAAATTAATGGAGGTTTCTTGATAGGTTCTCAGATGAATCTTCCCTTGCTTCTCTTATCCTGTGGCCCCCTGTCATTATTGGAATCAGCACCATCTCATGGACTTCAAATATGAGAATAAAAGAACATAGAAGTTTAAAATGTGAGTGCCAGAGGGCCTGCTGGGCCTCGCCCTCCCCTGCGGGTGCCACTGCCATCTTCAGCGACAGGAAGGTAGCTGTGCAGGCGCCCCTGAACACCCAATTGCCCTCCTCACGCTTTCAGACTTCCTGATTGTGCCAGTCTTTAGACCTACTCTGTGGAGTCAGAGATGCTCATAAAGGCTATTTTCTGGTGCTCTCAACTTTGAACATCTTTAAGGAAGGGGAGGGGGAAATCTGTAGTAGAACTGAGTGGAGTTCAACCCTGCAGGAGGTCGGGAAACTCAGTCTGGGCCTTGCAGCCCGAAGTCAGTCTGCGTAGTGGGGTTCTGCCACCAGCTAGCTGAGATCAGGGGACTTGGCTCTGCACATGGCAGCGCATATTGTATATTATGACAGCAGTGATATAGTATGAAAGAGGCCCTTCAAACTCATTTTTTTCCTTTTTTTTCATTCCACTCTGCAAATTCTTTTTTTACTTTCTGTCCTCTTTCTCCAACTCAGTCTATTGCTCCACTATATTATCCCTCATTTCCCTTTTTGTTTCTGCTCCTGTCCTAACTCAGATTTCTTCTTTTATTATTTTTGTTCTTTTTTCTTTGTGATCTTTTCTTATGTCACTCTACCTCACTCAAGGGTTATTATATTTCTATTCTGTTTATCCCTTTTGAATTTAACAGTTTCCTGATGATTGTGTGGTCATTCTACATCTTCTGGCTTCATGTGAAACCTTCTCTAATTCTTTCACTTATCTACTCCTCTCGTCCTAACTCTGTCTTAAGACCCCATCCTAAATGGTAAATATCCTTACTGAAAAGTTTATTCACTGCAAACATATTTTGGATTGCTTCTTGATTTTAATTTAATTCACATGGTTTGAAGGTGATAGACTGATGACAACCACAAGTGGTCAGTTTGCAAGTTGTGCTTGATCATATTGTGGTGCTGATTGTATCAATTAGGATAAAGGATTGTGATTGATTCAATGAGCTGTTTTCTTTAGTATTAGGAAAATGAGAATGTCTATGAGTCATTAGAGACCCATGGGCTGAAGCCCAACTATATCAGAAAGATTTAAGTGATAACCTAAAGGTTAAACTAAGGACAACCCAACAACAATAGTAAAAATGAGAAAATGCTTTTGCAAGATACAGGGACAGACTTCCAGTTCACCAATGGCAAACAGTGGGGCAAATGAGGATGAAAAGTCTGACAGTGAACCAGCAGGACACCCTGAACTCAAAGCACAGGAAGTAACAAAATAGATCAATCAGGCTCTAGAGAAATTTAAAACAGAAGTAATATCCCAGATAGTCACAGAGATGATGAGCAAAATGAAAGTTATAATTCAAGACTCTAGAACAGAAACTGAGAGGAAAATAGATGAGCTCAGGACCATGGTAGAAGCCATGAATGCCCAGCATAAGAAAAAATTGAAAACAATAAATGCCCAATATAAGAAAGAAATGGAAACCACAGGGCAGATTTGAGCAGATATCCAGGAGATTAAAAATTCCATCGAGAGTGTTTGCAACTGAATAAAAGAGTCCAAAGATAGAATCTCAGATATAGAAGATAAAATTGCAGTCAGTGACCATGAAGAGAGGCCTCTTAAAAACAGTAGGGGATCTTGAGAAATTGATCCAATAACTCTTAGACAATGCAAAGAAGAATAACATAAGACTGATAGGAAACCATGAAGTAGCAGGAGAAAATGCAAATGACTTAAAAAAGCTGTTCACAGAATTAATGACAGAAAATTTCCCAAACAGAGGGGAAGAATTTGACATACAGATAAGTAAGGCATATAGGACTTCAACTAGATGTGATTAAAAAAAAATCTACACCTAGACATATAATAATCAAGATCCCAGAAACCCAACAGAAGAACAAAATACCACAAGCAATAAGAGATAAGAAACAAATCACATGCCAAGGAAAGCCCATCAGAATCACAGCAGACTTTTCAACACAAACCCTTAGGTTAAGGAGAGCCTGGAATGAGACATTTCAAGTACTAAAAGAAAACAACCTCCAACCTAGACTGATGTATCCTGCAAAACTTTCTTTCAAAATGGATGGGGAAATAAGATATTTCCAAGATAAGGAACACCTGAGAAACTTCATGAATACCAAACCAGTGCTACAAGGAATTCTAAATAATATTCTAGAAAAAGATAATGAAGGTAAAAACACAATGAGGCCCAACAGAGCAAATCAAATAGGCAAGGTAACAAACTAGAAGGAGAAGGCAAAAAAAAAATGACAATAATAAGTTAGTACATATCAGTTATAACCATCAATATCAATGGCCTCAATTCACCAATCAAGAGAAATAGACTGGCAGAATGGACTAAGAAGCA